GGCAAAGGGAAGAGTCCCCTGATTTCCATCCTTGTGCTTCTCAGTCACACCTAGTCAGCATAGTGACAACAAAACACAACCACATCTATCTAATCTTACTGCTCATAGCTGTTAAATACCAAATCTCAATCAGCAATTTTAGAGATGGAGCCATCGATGCTTTTTGCTCCTAATGTTTTGTAGGCAGGCAGTTGGAAATCAGGAGGCACATAGGAAAAGACTAAGTTAAAATCCCTAAGACCCTTTAAATAAAGTCTCCTGAAAATGACAGTGAAACGGAGACAGCAACCAAGAAATTGATTCATGCAGCAATAGAAAAAGGCAGGTTAATATGAAGAGCAGAGCCTACGGTGCCAAACCTGCTTTTAGCCGAGAGGGACTTTACTGAGAGGAGCCTCTAACCCCCTAAATCTTAGAAGCAACTAAGTCGGGCCCTAACCCGAGGTCGGGCCTCTAACCCAAGGTTGGTCAAGCATCCTTGCCTTTTATTAAGAGGGGCCTCTAATCCACTGTGTCTTAGGAGAGACTCTCACTCCCCTAAGTTGTGCCTCTAACCCAATCCCATTCTGTACCCAGGTATATGCACCCCACTTACCCAAAGTTAGCCAATTGGTGCATGCAGATGATTTTCCTTTGGGTCGGGGGTCTCTTTAGTATCATCCATTTGGGGTTTGCCAGAAATACGTTACAGGACCCCAACATTTATCCAAAGGTAGTCATTGGGTCAGGGTTTCTACACTATAGTCCCATCTGTGGTCACCAGAAATATGTTACAGGAAAGGGGTTCTGATCCAGACCCCAAGAGAGGGTTCTTGGATCTCGTGCAAGAAAGAATTCAGGGCAAGTCCAAAGTGCGAAGCAAAAGCAAGTTTATTAAGAAAGTAAAGTGGCGAAAGGACAGCTACTCCATAGACAGAGTAGGACATTCCCGAAGTGAGAGGAGGAAGGTGTTCACCCTGGGTACAATGTTTGTGTATATGGAGAAATGTGCTCTGCTACAAGGGTTTATGATAAAGGATTAATTTTCTTAATTACCATGTTTTATAAGAATCAATATTATTATCTTTATTTTTTTGAGACAGGGTCTTGCTGTCACCCAGGCTGGAGTGCAGTGATACGATCTCAGTTCATTGCAACCTCTGCCTCCTGGGTTCAAGCAATTCTCCTGCCTCAGCCTCCCCAGTAGCTGGGATTACAGGCACATGTCACCACGCCCGGCTAGTTTTTTTTTTTTTTTCTTAGAGGTGAGGTTCCACCATGTTGACCAAGCTGATCTTGAACTCCTGACCTCAAGTGATCCACCCGTCTCAGACTCCCCTAAGTGCTGGGATTACAGGAATGAGCCACCACGCCTGGCAACATTATTTTCTGTAAAGCAAAATTAGGAATGTCTTTTTTCTCCAGATTTTGGGATATCTGGACACTCCCAAGTCTGGGTCTGTTTAGTAAACATTATTAATTTCTTCCCTTAACCATAAACATCTAGATGCTAGGAATGCCTAACTTTCTGGGACTGCCGCCCAGCAAGGGCCAGCCTCATTTTCTAGCTTCACTCAAGATGGAGTTGCCCTGGTTCAAACACCTTTGACCCTGGCTCCACTCAGGAACAATCAGAAATCTGTAAAGATGATGCCTGGACATTGCTTTATTTGTAAAGTTCCCAGGCAATTTCAATGCATGGGTGGTGGAAAAGTCACTGCTTTAACCAGATATATTTTATAAACTTCTCTTCGACTGACTGTATTTATCTCCTATAATACATCAGATTCCCTTCTGATGAATATCAGGAGTTACATTCTATTATAAGCACAAAAGGCAACAAGATAAACATGACCATTGTTTTCAGGATATGTACCATCTGTCAGACACACAAACTGCAAGGGCACAGTCCTTGTCTTTAGAGTAAAACGTGAAGAAGTGATAAATATTGCCTACTATGCAAGAGTTTGGGAAGCTGTTCAGTGCTAAATATTTACAAAGGGGCATTAAAATTCAAATTCCCACTGTTGTACTAAGATGCACATGATGAGATATTCCAACGAGATCACTGTGTGCAGCATTTATAAAGGAAATTGTCGGGAACTCAGTCCACAACCCTACCGTAGATGAACTATTGGGGAACTCGGGAACTCGGTCCACAGCCCTACTGTAGATGAACTATTGGGGAACTCAGGAACTCGGTCCACAGCCCTACTGTAGATGAACTATTGGGGAACTCAGGAACTCGGTCCACAGCCCTACTGCTGTCTCTTATACACATCTAGATGTGTATAAGAGACAGACCGTAGATGAACTATTGGGGAACTCGGTCCACAGCCCTACTGTAGATGAACTATTAGAGGTCCACAGCCCTACTGTAGATGAACTATTGGGGAACTCATGCAAGCTAAGGAGTCATTCCACAAAATCACACCCATGCAGCGTTTTCCCCACAAGTTCAAGGTACAACCTTCCTGAACGTTGGTATAGTCCTGGGTTAAGAATTCCCAACTTAGAATATTTTCATCACTACTTCATAGAGAGGGCAGTTGGCTGAAAAAAGACATTGTTGCTTTTACATCTTGACCAGGAAAAGGATCTAAAGAAGAAGGGAAAATCTAAATGTATAGAACAATCATGTAAGGTTATAGGAAGAGTAAAATTAGATGAAGTAAATGGAGCACTTTTACCTTATATTTATTGAATGGTATTATAGGTGGGTCTTCTAGGATGGCAAGAACTTACATATATGAAGAGATTTATAAGGTTTTTCTGATAAAACAAACTCTAAAAACAGAAGTATGGGGCTGTGGGGTGGGAGGCGTCCAGTATTCCAGTGCAGGCAACGTTTGTCGGTTTTTATTTGAGGTCAAGGAACCTGGAAGGAAATAGGGGTAGAACGTGATGTGGACATATAAGCAGTTATTGTGTACAATGAACTACACTCATGCAGGTGTTCACATGGCTGAAATGCAAGTAATGCTAATTCTGTTCTATAAATTCCTTTTCTCATGATTAAAAACAGAAGGCGAGGCCCAACACAGACAAGATGGAGGTTATCCCATTTCATCAACGGGAAAGTCATACCACAATTCTTATCAAGTTCAAATACAAAAACAAAGATGCATTGTAGCATCTTAATTCCAAGTTCCCTTTAGCTGTGAGTAGAAATGCCAGTCAGGGGCTTCAAAGAGACAGTGGCATCCTTTTCTTATGAAAAGAAAGGTGTGGGAGAAAAAAGCCCACCGTGGCCTAGGGGATTTGTTGACGATTTTTATCACACTAGCTGCTTCTCAAAGAGTTAAACAACTTTTTTTCAGGAGCCAAGAGGGAGGGCAATTTGTAGGATTCAAAAACCAGCCGTCATCTTTTCCCCATCATTACTCATAGCCCATTGCAGCTATCCCGTTCCATGGAAGAGATGGCTGTTTAAGCAGAAGGCTGATCTCTGCAATTGGGGTTCTTTCTTTTAGCAGTTCTTCTCATCTCATTTCTCTGGCCCCCTCCTTCCTCTTCTCTTTTTTTCCCCCTCCCCTTCCTCTTCTTCTATCTTTCTTTTTCTTTTCTTTTCGTTTCTTTTTTTTTTTTTTTTTTGGAGACCTATTTTCATTCTGTCGCCCAGGCTGGAGTGCAGTGGTGTGATCCCAGCTCACCACAACCTCTGCCTCCCAAGTTCAAGCAATTCTCATGCCTCAGCCTCCCGAGTAGCTGAGATTATAGGCACATGCCACCACACCCAGCTATTTTTTTTATTATTAGTAGAGATAGAGTTTTGCCCTGTTGGCCAAGCTGGTCTCGAACTCCCGACCTCAAGTGATCGCTTTCATCTTTCCTTTCTTTCTACTTCTCTCTCTCCTTCCATTTCTCCCTCCCTCCTCCTTTCTCTCTCTCCCTCCTTCTCTGTTCATTAGAATCTCCCCTGATATTCTAGTTTTCCATCTCATCCCTCCCATTGAGAACAAGGCTCCCTGGAAGCCCCACCATTTATCTCGGAGCTTCTTACTGATAAACTTGGGTGAGTTTGATGGTGTGATAAAAAATGTCAACAGCTTTGTTAACAAACCTTATTCTCCTAAATGTCAGAGTTCAATGATCATTTCTCAAAGGTTTAAATTCAAATCTTTTGGAACTAGATCTGACAGGTAGACGTTGTTTGTCCACTGAGGCTTTAAAATGCATCTCTCTCAGCGGGTTCCTCTGTTCATTCTCACCTACACCCTGTTCATTTCCTCTTCAGGCAAAGGCAGGCACTAAATCTACATTTTTCTACCTGTCACATAGAAGAGCAGACATTATACCAAAAATCACTATGATGAGGCAGCCAGCTAATTAATTACTTAAATAGCTGTAAAAATAATCCAGAAAGTCCTAGGTGGATTTGTTTCTAGATGTATGCTTACAGGAAAATTGAGTGTCTAGCAACCAGTCTTTGTCTCAATGACTCCCATCTCCATGTAGTATCTGGCGACTTCTCCATGCTCATCACAGCGTCCCCCTTGACCCTGCTTTGTTGTGCACACCTTGCCTGTTTCTCTGCAATTCTGTCTTACCACTGCCAGATAACAGAACCGTGTCACCCTCAGACATCCTTAAAATTCTGTGCACCCAACTCAATCTGGCTGTGGCTTTGGAAAATCCAATAGAAGTTGCATAGACATTTGTGAGAGTGAGGAAACGTGTTCTCCTAAATGGAGAATGGGAAAGAAAGCGTTTAAGAAATGCAATCACTATTTCCTGTAATTATCCACAAATACCCGCTCTGGGGCAGCTGAGCAGCCCACAGACGGAAGGACTTTGGAACCTGGAGTGATAGTATCTAAGACCAGGCAAATGCTGCAGAGCATATTAAAGCTCCTTTGTTCATTTTGGAATGGCGTCTCTGAATGCTCTTTGCAGAGATGTGTGCACTTGATTCCGTGTGGAGGTACATAGAGAAATGGCCAAGGGCTGCCCACTCTCTGCCAAGCATGCTATGCCTCATCAGTCCCTGAAAGCTGCTCTCCTCTGTGTCTTCTCTCCAGTGCGGATGGTGCCTCCTACGAGGTCATGCAGATTGACGTGGAGGTGGAAGAGCCCAGTGACCTGCCAGCCACACAGCTGGTCACGTGGCAGGTCGAGTACCCCGGAGAGATCACGTCTGACTTGGGAGTGTCGAAGATCTATGTGAGCCCAAAGGACTTGATTGGAGTTGTGCCACTGGCTATGGTAAGCAAGCCCCGCCTTGGGCTGTTAGAACTGAACTCGGGGGAGGGGAATGCGCCCTACGGTGACCCAGGCTGGGTGGGGAAAAGTGGAGGAGCCAAGAACCAGGACAGTGAGAAATGAAACCACAAAGTTGACTGCCAATAGCCGATTGTTGTGTGTGTGTGAGAGTGTGTGTGTGTGTATGGATCGATCGATCGATCTATCTATAAAACAATTTTCTTAATATTATTTAGAAAATAACCTCCAGGTGTTAGATTTGGGTCTGCTATTGTGTGAAAATTGTTGATGACTTGATAGATGTGTTTGTGGCTTATGATGTAGACACCTGTGGATCTCGAACCCACACAGCTGTGGAGTCCGTGTGGATCAAGTATAGGAGTGAAATGTGCTGAGACATTTGTCAAACACCTGCCTGGTCCCCCAGACCGCCAGTTAGAAAATACTGACCAGTGTTCTTATGCCATGCTGAAAGAACACCAGAAATCAGTTCTTCAATCCAAGGCAACTGGACAGCTGCCTGGTGACACTAAACTGGTTACTGTGTTTGTTGTTCATTAGGAAATGTAAAGGTGTTTGGGTTACTGTAGTTGACAAGGGCTCTTACTGTTTTATGTGAGAGGCACTGAGCATCCCTGGTTATTATTTTGTGTGAGACGGTCGTGCCCTTTGCTTTGGACTCTTAGCGGTTCTGTAGCAACGCTTGAGCGTTGAGGGAATAGCAAGGAGAAAGGCTTGAACCCGGGAGGTGGAGGTGACACAGCCAGCCTAAGTGACAGACGGAGACTTCATCTCAAAACAAAACAAAATGAAACATGGTGGGCTGAGTTGTTAGCAATGGGCTCTGAGCGGCTTCCTCTGGAACTAAGTGGAGAGCCAGAGTCCTGTCTGATCAACCTTTTGTACTGGGAGTGTTCTGACTCTTCCCAGAGCAAGGTGCCTTATTTTAACCTTGACTTGTTTGGTAAAAGAGTGTTGTCATGCAAGGGATGTGGTTGCCATTATTAAATTAGTTTGCTTTTGTTCATTCTGTCTTTATTGAGAGATACGTGAAAGAAATGTTAGATCCATGCATCCATTGATTCATTGATTGATTGATTGATGCCACACATTCCTGAAACAGAAGAGAAAAGGAGGAAAGCCAGCCTGCCTGGACGGGGGGTGGTGAGTGAGTTGAGTTTAGTCTCCGGGGAGCTTGGAAGCCAGCCTGAGGAGTTGGATTGTTGCGTGCAGTGGGAAGCCCCCGTGAGGGGTCTGCAGGGGAGCCACATGGACTGACTCATGTTTTCAGAAGATCAGTGTGGCTGTACATGGAGAATGAATTCAAGAGGGTAAGAGAGCATTAGGAGACTGTATTCTGGCTTCTGGAAAAAAAAAAAAAAAAAAAAAAGACCTTATAATGCCGACCTGCAGAGCTTGATGTTTACTTGGCTCTGGACATCCTGTGTAAATTTCAGCAGCCTGGGACTCATAAGGTGGCTCCAGCAGGTCAGGGTGTGGCCTCTTTCCATCCTGTTGCTTTGAGTAACCCCAAAGACATTGACCTAATCACTCTTACTCCAAATTAATGACAATCATACCCACGTTACAGCTATTTTCTAAATTTTCACATTCCATGTTGATGAAGCTGCAGGAAAATGGGAATCATTATGCAAAGCAGGTGGAATTTTATATTTGTTAAGCTTTCTGGAAGTCAGTTTGGCAAATATTATTTAAAAGGTAATACAATATCGTATATTGTATTACTTTAAAAAAAATTTGTTTATTATTTATTTTTCTTTTTTTGTGAGACAGAGTTTCACTCTGTCGCCCAGGCTGGAGTGCAGTGGCGCAATCTCAGCTCACGGCAACCTCTGCCCCCCAGGTTCAAGTGATTCTCCTGCCTCAGCCTCCTGAGTAGCTGGGATTACAGGCACCTGCCAACATGCCCAGCTAATTTTTGTATTTTTAGTAGAGATGGGGTTTCACCATGTTAGCCAGGCTGGTCTTGAACTCCTGACCTAAGGTGATCCACCTGCCTCAGTTTCCCAAAGTGCTGGAATTACAGGCATGAGCCACCATACCCAGCCTATAAATTTTTTATAATATATTTTATAAGTGGAAAAGGGGAGAGTGTGCTTCTCTCCTTCCCGAGCACCCTACCTCTGCTCCCACCCCATCAGCCTAGGAGCTCCACCAAGTGCTGACATCTAGCTGCAAGGGAGGCTGGAGAGAGTGAGCTATTCCAGGAGCCAGATGCCCCGCTGCAGGCATGCAGCAGTGGGAGAAGGGAGTGCACCTGGGGAAATGTCTGGCGCTGTCCTGGCTGAGATAACAGCAGTGGAGCAGCAGCATCCACCTTAGAAGACAAGACTTCCGGATGCATTGCATACAGGTGTGAAGAAAACACACGAATAAAAGATGTCTCCTAGCTTTAGGCCCAAACAAAAATTGCTAGTGTGTCTCCATGACACTACCACACAAGCTTAAAATTTAAGAGCTTTTGGCCAGGCACAGTGGCTCACGCCTGTAATCCCAGCACTTTGGGAGGAGTGGATCACAGGGCGGGTGGATCACGAGGTCAGGAGATCGAGACCATCCTGACTAACACGGTGAAACCCCATCTCTGCTAAAAATACAAAAAAAGAAAAAGTAGCCAGGTGAGGTGGCGGGCACCTGTAGTCCCAGTTGCTGGGGAGGCTGAGGCAGGAGAATGGTGTGAACCCGGGAGGCAGAGCTTGCAGTGAGC